TGAGGCTTGTTTTTGTGTGGAAGAGTTTTTGTGATTTTTTCAAGAAAATTACCAAAAAAGAAAATTTTTTGAAAAAAATGGATCAGCGGAAAGAGTTTTTTTTTTTAAATTCTCCTATTATCAATAGTTTAAGTTCTTAACAAATTATGAAATTAAAATATATTAATTTAATCTATATTGGAAAATTTTGAAATTCTATTTTTAAAATCATAACAATTATTCAAATATTCTTTAATTCAAAAATTATTCAGTAATCTTTAAAAATTTATTATTTTAGATTAAAATATTTCAATCTAATATTTGCTTAAATAGGAAATTTATTAAATAAGACTTATTTGTAATATTATAAGTAATAATAAAAAAGATTGAAAAATTTTTTTTGCAAGATTTAAACAAAAAGTATTAAAATATTTAAAGTAATTAAATAATTTTTAAGAGTTCTAATATATAAATTAATAAATATAATATAATAAAAATAAGAAAATATAATGTTTTAAATTAATTATATCAATTATATTATAGTTTGTAGTAATTATTTTAAAAATATTAATTTACCAATTATTTTTTCTTAGTTTTATTAGTTAAATCAAGAGTTTTCAAATAATTAAAAGATTTGCTTTTGGCTATTAAATTTCTTTTAAACTAAAAACTTTATTTAAATTATTAAATAGATTATTATTTTAATATGCTATGCTTTTTATTATTTACAACATATTATTCAAGACTTACTTGATTTTTTTTTTCTTTAAAACAATGGCTTGCTATACCAAGATTTAAATCAATCATGTTTGCTATCCTGCTATCCCAATAGTCCGTCCATGGCATAAAAGGAAATTAATTAAATTAATTAGCGTAAGATAATTGTAAATCCTAGTTTAGAAATTAATAATATTTGTCACACGGTACTACATTTGACATAAAAGTCACGCCGTGGTTTAAACTCGGGAATTCCAGATAAGCTAGGTGCACATTTGATTGCGTATCAAATAAAAAACAGTATAAAAGGTTACTCATCAATTCATACATACACGTTTAAGCAATGACATCCAAAATTTCGCGAATTTTTCACGGTACTTTGATCCACTCTTTGTCCCTCACTGAGCTTGAAATAATCAAAGATGCCTTGGTGGGAGTAGATGAATTCGGTAAAATTGCGTTCGTAGAAAAGGAAGTTCTGTCTGAGCAGACTGTAAACGATATTCTGAGTGAATGGGAAGCCACCGAAACAAAGGTAGAGATGTTGTGAGAATAAGAAATGGCAGCAAACTAAGTTTCTATTAAAATCAAGGTTACCCGGTTATCTAAACGACAATTTTTAATACCCGGTTTTGTGGACACTCATACGGTGAACAGTCCTTTTTCATATACATCGTATACTCTTGTTGTTTAGTTTTTCTAAATGAATTTATTGTCCGAATAGCACGCCCCACAATATCCCAACGCTGGTACCGGTTTAGACGTCCCTTTGTTAGAATGGCTCGAAAAATATACTTTCCCTCTCGAACAATTATTTTCTTCCCTCGCATTCGCCGAAAAAACCTATCCGATCGTTGTCAGCAATCTGCTCCGTCATGGAACGACGACTGCTGTTTATTACGCCACGATTCATCTGGAATCAAGTAAATGCCTGGCGAGGATAGTTCACCAAAAGGGACAGAGAGGATTTATTGGCAAGGTCAACATGGATCGTAATTCTCCTGAAACATACATTGAAACGACGGAATCGAGTTCCAAGGATACCGAAAATTTTGTTAAATATGTATTGGATTTGGATCAACAATCACGTCTCGTGACACCTATCATAACACCTAGATTTGCGATCAGTTGTTCATCCGAGTTAATGCATTCCATCTCCGAAATTGCCGAGAGATACAATGTCCCAATTCAGTCGCATCTTTCCGAGAATGACGCTGAAATTGCATTCGTGGCTGAACTATTTTCCGATCCAAACTACACTTCGGTATACGACAATCATAAATTATTGAATAATAGAACCATAATGGCTCATGGAATACACTTATCACCGGAAGAACGAAATCTCATTAAAACACGTGGCGCAGGAATATCGCATTGTCCGAATTCCAACTTTTCACTCTGTTCAGGGGTTTGCAATGTGAGACAATTATTGGATGAGGGAATTAAGGTGGGATTAGGCACGGACGTTAGCGGTGGATTCTCGAAGACCATATTAGATTCAATACGCAGTGCAAGCGTGGCCGGCAAGGTCACTCAAATGACAGCACCCAAGGATAAAAAATCCTCGCCTATCACGCTTAACGAACTATTTTACCTATCGACGATGGGCGGCGCGAGCTTGTTAAACCTTGAAAACGTCATCGGAAACTTTGAGGTCGGAAAAGAATTTGACGCATTGTTGATCGATCCCGAATCACATCAATCGCCGATAAATTTGTTTGAAGGCATAGATGACGATGTTGAAAGGGTGTTTGAGAAATTTTTATTTCTCGGGGATGAAAGAAATATTTTGAAGGTTTACGTCCGGGGAAAGATGGTTTCGGGAACTGAATATGAGGGGGATTGTTAAAACCGGATTGACTATCACATCATCTATTATTCTTCTCTCTACGATATAAGTTCAAATATTCATATCTAATACAGTCGGAGGACAAGACAAGCTCATGTATTTTACGACAAGGAATTTTTAAAGTACAATCATATAATGAGAAAAGGAAGTTAACTCCATTTATATATGTTGTCGCGTAAATAGACATCGAACAACAATTTATGGTACCGGCAAACGGGACACAAAACATTTCGTCTCGTTCCATTTTGCAGTAGTCAATCATTCTTCGTCATCGTAATCACTCCTAGGAAACTTTGCCTCCACCTGTTCAAAAGCATCGGGGTACTGCGTCGATATTTTCGCTTTCATCATTCTAGCAACAGACCCGTGAAGTTGGTTAACCAAAATTTTTAAGGAAAACCAAGTTACCCCGACTTAATTCTTAACGCCGAAAAATGTAAACCTCACCTTATCTTTTTGAAAATATACTCCAGATCTCCTTTCATTTCCCTGATACATTTTGAGTGTGATTCGAATTTTCTGGCGAGGTCGTCATATTTCGACGCGCTAAATTCGTTGAACGCGGTCAGCGATAATGTTGAAAATTCTATTGACTGTCGACTATTATGATTAGTTTAAAATGGTGTTTATATTAGCTGATCGAAAAAACGTTGCAAAAAAAAAAAATAAAGTTTCCTTGCCATTCACAACACACACATTTGATCCTGATTCTCGACGATCTTATCCATGTCGTTTTCATTCAACATGTCTCTCATACGTTGAATCATATATACAGCGAACGGATCATCTTCCATTACATCACTCAACTCTTCTTGCCCTTCAGGATTTGTTATCGTTATGTATGTCGATGGTGGTACATTCAGTGCCTCTTTTTTCGATGGCATTGATTCGTTTATCTCTTTCGTTGTTTCGGCAGCGAACCGAGACAAATTAACATTTGACGTTGAAGTTACCGGTGACAATGGATACGATGCAAATGACCGATTATTCTTTGGTAATCACCTTTGACGGTAGAATCCTCGTTCAATATGACGCTCCCCGGTCTTTCCTCCTCTATAATTGATAATTCAGATATTCCTGGTACATTGTCCATTAGGCGATAGATTTTCCAATTCTTCGAGTCGTCTCCTTTTTTGAAGATTGAGATTGCATTAGTAAGGCAACACAAAGAAAAATGCGTACGTCATTTCTAATAATGGTGTTGCACCGCATGATCGCAGCCAGACTAGATTGTCAGTTTATTAATAAATTGAAAACATAAGTACATTTTCATTTGAGTAGCATGATACATACTACAGCTAAACTATTATTCTAATCTAACTAACTTGTCGTAAACATAAAAGCCTCTAAGTTCAGTCTTGGAGACATTATTTTATTCCACAGTGTCTTCGAATAAAAACCTTCCTAGTCCACTACATTATTGTCAACAAGTTGTTACTGCTGTATGTCTGATCAAGCCACTGGAATACAGGAAATTATAAAAGGATGGGTTGAAAAAGGGGAGAAAAAATATTTAAAAATGTCTAAGCAGACAACAAGAAAATAAGAGTAAAAATTGAAAAAAATATTTTCAGCTTTTTCCAAAGACCTGTTTTTCAAGACTTCTTCTCAATAAGAAATATTCAATTAGAATATTCTTTCTTTTCCTAACCATCCGAGGAGCTTATCCTTTCTTGATCCTGATTTTCTTTTTGTGTATCATTTGAGGAGACTTATCACCTAATGGTAACCTTTATTTTCAAAATACACTTGGTTTCAACCTTTTTTGAACAGTAATTTTTTATTTAACTGTGATAGAAAGATAACTTATGATAGACTCCAGGTTCTTATGTGACCTAGTAAAGATTAGGTTATATTATTTCAATATAATACCTTCTAGTAATTATGTCTAATTAAAGAAATTTTACTGGTATACATCTTTCATTACTCAAAAGGCCAGATTTCCCAATAATCCTATTGTCTTGTAATGATAAGAGAATTTCAAGAATGGTGAGGATTCTTATTGATTGCAATATCTTTCAACAACTTTTGAAAAAATGTATTTTTAACTATAATCAAAGAGTTGGAGCTTAGCATGAACTAGAAATTATTCAGTCTTATTGCCTAATCAAGATAAAAAGGAGATCTTGATCATAACTTTGCCTGACCAGGATAATAGAAGAGAAAGATCTCAACTTGAATGAATAGTAGCTTTTTTATCACCTGAGAACTTGTTGCTCATATTTTATTGTTCTTATGAAACTTAATCTGTAAGTTAACCCAATTGGAGAAGTGGAGTAGACACAAGGTACCAATTAACTTTTTCTATCACCAATAACATCATTAAAACATGTGAGGTGATCAATAGAAGCTTGTTTACATTCAGTTACTAATATGTTTCATATCAACCAATCAGATATCAAGTGATATTGTGCTATCAGAAATTCAGGGTCAAACTGAAGTAAGCAAAATCCTTCAAGAAAACTATGAAAAACAGTAGATACTTTAAAAGGATACAAAACAGTATATGAGAAAGTGAATAATAAGCTTTCTCCTATCAACAAAACTTATATTTCTTGTCATTTCTAGCTTTGTAAGGTAACACTCCACTTGTTAGTCCTTTTACTTCCTAGAATCTTCTTGTCTTTAGTAAAGGAAGTGCATACTTGAGTCTTTTCAGGCCACTAGAGGCTCAAGTTTTTATTCAAAGGAGTTTATAAACAAGTAAGGAAGAGTAGGAAAAATATATAAAGACAAGCTTCAAATTATTTTAATGAAAATTTAAAGATTTTATTAGTAAAGAAGTATAAAACTTCTTGCAAACATCTTTTTTATGTATGGTTAAAGAATCAGTAGAAAGAGTATTATATTTTTGATAAATTTCTTAAAAATCAAATTAGACAAAAGTTATATATATATATTAAACTTATAGTTAGATCAGCACTATATGTTTATTTATTTTTTTTTTTTAACCCATGATTATGTCAGTATAATATATTTATTAATTATAAATAACAAAACCATTTGCAATACATTGGACAATTATATTATGATTAAACTAAATCTCATATTGATTCACTCATCATAAGCTTTTAATTCTCAAATAAGTTTCAACCTCTAAGTATAATATTGGAAACAATATTTTGTTTTAGGATAAATTTTAAGTAAATACCCTCCTAACTTGTCCATTATTGTTAGCAGGTTGCTGCTATCAATTATTCTTCAAGAAACTGATTTCTGGAAATTACAATAAGAGAAAGAGAAAATAAAAGGAAGAGATATATCTAAAAATGCATAACTGTACTTATATAAAGAAAAAATAAAAAAATAAAAAATAAAAAATAAAAATAAAACTGCTTCATGTTCTTTAAAAAATCTCTACTAAAGACCTTCTCTCATTAGAAGTCAAACCTTCTAGAATATTCTTCTTCTTTCTAACTATCTAAGGAACTTATTTATTTGTAATTTTAATTATTTTCTTATGATTATCTCAGATACTTATTGCTTACTCAAATCCAGTATCTTGCTTATTACTTTCTTTCTTTCAATATTAATTTTTTATCTACCCACATAGACCTTAATAACTTATAGTAAATTCTAGATTTTTATGTAACCTTTTAGTCATATTACATATATAATTATTGATATCTTCCAGTAGCTATATCTAGTTAAAGGAATTTTACTGATGTATATCTTCCATTGTCCAAAAAGTTTTTCCTTAAGAATCTTTTTGCTTTACAATAATAGGAGGGTTTCAGAAGAGAAATAGGGATTCTTATTAATTATAATATCATTATATAATATCTGAAGAAATATATTCTCAATTCTAGAGAAGAGCAGTAACTTACAGTCTTTTGCTTTTCAGTCTTATTGCCTGATTAAAATAAGAAAATAACCTTCCTTATATATAAAGATGGATCCCAAAGGAGGAAATAGGAACAAAAGTCAAATGTTCCTTACTAGGAAACATTAAAACTTTTAAATTAATAACTATAAAAAACTACTCACAATTGTTTTCTATTATCCAAATCATTGATTTATAACATTTCCTGATTTTTGTCCCTATTAAAGTAAAGAGCTATAAATTTTGTCTCTCAAAAAGGGACATAAGTGATCTGCAAAATTTTATATGCTAAATACTTTAGGGACTCATCATTATTTATGTACTTAGTTTAACTAGAATAATAAGAAGTTAAAGACTTCAGCTTGAACAAATAACCACTTTTTTATCACTTAAGAAATTTAGTACCTATCTTAATCATCTTAGGATCTTTTTGTTTTAGTTATACTTTATTTGAAGGAGTAAAAGATTTTGCATCAATTGATTCTCTTTTGTTTTACCAATAATATCATTGAAATATATGAATATGGTCAATAGAATCTTGTTTACATCTTATTACTAGTATGTTTCGTATCAGCCAATTAGAAGTCAAATAATATTATACTATCAAAAATTCAGGGTTAAGCTGGGATAGACAAAATTTTCCAAAAAAATTGTAAAAAAAACTATAAATACTCTAAAAGAGCAAAAGACAGTATATATAAAGATAAATAATAAATCTTTTTCTATTTAGAAAACCTCTATCTCTATATTATATCCAGCTTTAAAAGGTGACACTTTACAAATTGATTTTTTTACTTCCTAGAATCTTCTTGTCTTTAGTAAAAGAAGTATATAATTGACCTATTCATGCCACCAGAGATCCAAATTTTTATTCAAAGAAGTTTATAAACAAATAGTAGAGAGTAATAGTGATTCTTGAAAACAAGCTTCAAGTTGTTTTAAAAAAAGTAGAAAGGTTTTATTAGTCAAGAAGAATAAAAACTTCTTGTAAACATCTTTTTTATATGTGATCAAAAAATTAATAAAAAGAATATATTATCTTTTTTGACAGTACTTCATATTTATTAATCATTAATAAAATTAATAAAGATATACAATAAGGATAAAAAAATTTATATTTTTTTTAAATATATTTAATTTAATAAAAAATTATCTAAATTAAATTAAACTTAATATATAAATACTTAAATATTTAAAAATCAATTTTACTTAAAAACTATTTTATAACCTTTTTTTTTTTAATATGTAATTATGTCATAATGGCTTGTCTTTATTGAGAAATTAAAATAAATCTACAATAATTTATAGACTTTTACAAAGTGTCTAATTCATCTTTATATATAAGTATTCTAAGTCAGATTTTGGAAACAATATTATACTTCTCTGATAAATTAATAATAACCTTTATCTATTAAAATCATTATCAACAGTTTATTACTGTTTATTGCTTAAAAATCAATAAATTGTTAAGTTAAAAAAGGATAAAAGGAAAAATGATTGAGGAAGAAAACAATTCAAGATCTACCAAAAAAATTCAAAAATAAAAACAATCTCTCCTCAAAAGAGATTTGCTTGATTGAGATAGTCTTCTTGCTTCACTTGAACCTCAGAAGAAATCTTCTTTTTTACCACCTATGGTATCGGATAAGTCAATCTAACGGGTACTTCATTTAAATGAGTACCAGATTGAAATATCTCAAGAAAAGCCTTTAGACCTTAGTTTTTTTTCATTAAAG